GCATGGACGGCGATATGTGCCATACTGCGATCGGTGATGTGCTTGCAGTAGCTCAGCGTGAGACGTCGTAGCTTCGGACATCCAACAACAGTACCAGGTGGCAGCGGTTGCGGAGCAGGCTGATTAGCACCCTTTCCTTGTCGGCGACCATTTATCTGAGCCTGATGTTGCGCATGCGCCATTGCCATCTGAGGTGGCATCTCTGGGACCACCCACCCTATCACGCGAGCGAGAAGGTTGTCGCCTACCTTCCTGCAGTTGCTGAGATCGACCTCCTCAAGACCCTTCGCCTTCTGCACCATCTCCAGTACAGCTGGTCCAGTGATGTCCCACACGCTCTTCATGCGCCAGATTCTTACGCTCGGACCGCAAGTCTTTGCCAGCTCGGCGAAACCCTCGTCTGTCACGTGGAAGCAGTTACTGATGTTGATGTATCGTGGACGACTGCCTACGAATGGGCATATTACGTCTACAAGCGATCGATCCGTGACTTTGCGATTGTATTTGCTAAGATCAAGGTCGTGGAGTATATCCGGCGACTCTGATATTAACTTGTTCCAGTGCGAAGAGATTACACGCAACTTCATCAGCTCGTGTATGTCTAGATTCGCAAGAATCTTAGTGAGCACTTGATCCGACAGTATGCCTCTTCCATATCTACTTGGTCTGTTGACTAGCCGAGGGCGTTTATAGTCGAGTGGCATCTCTGGTGGGGTGGACGCATGCTTCGATATGGAAAATGATGGTGATGGGGAAAGGGGCGAGCCACCGGGCGATGGTGACTTGGGGAAATCTGTTTTTGCTGGGCTAGACGGCGAGTCCGGTATTGATCCAGGTGGGGGTGGAGCTAGTGAGCCTCTCCTTGACCTCGACCTGACATTGTCCAAATCGACATTAAGAAATGGGTCTGGATCAAATGGTTCCATCATCTTTTCGTCTCTCCGGGTGGGTGTCACCGGATTGTCGATGTCGATGGTGTCATTGAAAGTGACAGTTGGCACACTCTTCTTGCGTCGTGGTGTACGGGGTATTATATGGTCCGCGATGGCTAGATCGTTGATGTTGGGTGTACTGTTCGCGTCCAGCATGTGTACATCTTCGTCCTTGGCGGTCCGTAACCGCTCTTTCGCGACCGACTCGACCTGTCGGCGTACATCTGGCGTGCACTTCTCCCAGAGGTGATTCAAAGTGTCACCGCTGATCATGAGACATTCGACAGCCGATACGGAGCGGACCGTAGCGGTGCGGCGTGGCGCAAGCGAGAGACTGACGACCTCGCCAAAGTATTGCCCGGGCCTCAATCGGGCCTTTACTTCCTGGAAATGTTGCTCGCCCGCGGCGATGGATTTTCGACGACCTATGGGTGAAGTGGTACCGTTCTGCTCTGGTACATTCATGCTGATGACCTCAACCTCGCCTTTCACGATGAAGAAGACGTCACGTCCTTGTGTGCCCTGTTTTATTATGTCTGTGAAAGGATCAAACGAACAGGGTTGGGCGCGCATGCCAATGAAATGGAGGATGTCGTCGGGCAGCTCGGAGAAGAGAGGCAGCTCTTTGAGCAGCGGCCGCACATGAATGCTGCCGCTTCCAAAGGCACTATGGGCTATGGCTTCAGCGAGACCCGGACTGGGAGACTTCCTCTTCTTGAAGGCATTGATCTCGCCTTCGCGTAGAGTGCCGCTCTCGGCCATGATCACGTCGCCATCTTCGCGGTCACGCTTGCCTGTGATCTGACGCATGGGTATCGCAGGACGCTTGCCTCCTAACTCTGACTTCTTGCGCTGCAAAATGGCCAGTCGCTCCTGCGCTTCGTGCATGATGGCCACTTCCACTTCGGGGAACGCGGGCAGCTCCTTCATGAGGTCCTCCTTGTTCAGGCGCACTACCAGCGAGCGCATGTTGGCTATGATGGTGGCGGTGCGGGGGATGTCCATGAGGATACCGATCTCGCCAAAGAACGCACCGGGCTTCAGCTCTGCGTATGTGCTCTCCTGGTCCCGCGATGTCACCCGCACAGCTCCGCGGACCAGCCAGTACATGGCCTTGCCCGTCTCGCCCTCGGTGAGAATTGTGTCATGAGGCTGGTACAGCTGCGGCTTCAGGTGCAGGCCAACCTGGGTGAGGAAGGAGTCGGGGGCTGCCTGGAACAGCGGGAAGGAGCGCAGGCGGTCGAGCAGGTCTAGCGGTAGACCCTGAATCGTCGAGGCGGCCAGCGGGGAGGGACGTATCGGGCGGGCGGGATTGGAGTCGCTGTCGTATGCGCGTACCATGGCAAAGGGATCAGGCACCGGGACGCCGCCATGAGCCCGCACGGGACCTCCTCCAGGCCTGTATCGGCGCATCGTCGTGTTGGTGGCCGGCAGCGGCGCCAGAGGCAAACTTGCCGGTTGGGAAGGATCGAGGGGCAGGTGTCAGACGGTTAGGGAAGGAGCTCGTGCGTGGTGGGGAAGGGGCGATGCAGTTGTCGGGCAGTCACCAGCTCATGGTGGTGCGTGGGTATGCGCGGTGCAGCAGCTCGAGTGTCTCTGGGTTGCGAGATGATTGCTCGGCGAAGGAGCGGGATGCAGACGAAGCGCAGCGGGTGGGTAGCACAATGACTGAGCAATGCTGCAGCTGGGCGGGCGGAAAGCTTGGGTCAGGGCAGCTCGGGAACCTGCAGTGGGTCGGTGCGTGCTGGCTGCTGTGTAGTGTATAATTTCTTGTGACTGAAGCGTGCTGCTCGGAGAGATGATGGATAGATTGCGGGACGAGGCTTGGTCCCGCAACGCGGTGGATCAGCCTAACCTTCTACTAGGCTTCTCGAAACCGCATGCCAGCCTTAGCTATAACACCGAGCTCAACCTTGCCTCTTATCATGGCTATCAAGCTTGGGAATCTCTACACAGTGTGTCTGCTACGCCCGCATCCGCTTCAAAACTTCTCCACACCCTCCAGAAGCCTTCTGGAATTTCTTTATCGGCAAAAAAGCACAGAGATGTGCCTCGTGTGTCGGCTATTATTACGAACGGCAGCCCACCACCGCACCGACAGTCGGCCCCCTGGCGCCTCCTGTGAACTTCCACCGTCGCGTGGCCCCTCCCCTTCGCATCAGATCACGTCGCAGACATGGCTCGCACGTCGCACGTCATTCCCGCAGCAAACGTTTACTGCTCCTGCATGTCATCCATTTTTCGTCAAATCGTACAAAGGTATCGTGTTCCAGATTGCGCCATCCATAACTCCATACCGGAGCCCTGAAAATTTCGCCCCTAAGAAATGTCGCGCACGCCTGGCGCCAGCCCCAAAGTCCCGGATACCTTGTCAGCCCGGGCCCACCATCCTAAAGCATGCCTAGTATCTCCTTCGGTCATCGCGCTCATATCTGTCATCGTACCTATCGTCACGGTCGTATCGGTCGTCTCTCCTGCGATCATTCCTGCGCTTGTTGTCATCGTAGTCCTCCTCCCAATCACCGTTCCTTTGCTGCTCCTTCTTCCTTTTGCGTTCGTCCCAATGGCCCGCGGCTTCTTTTGCACCGACACCGCCTATGATGGCTCCAGCAATCGTTGCGACAGTGTCGTACTTCTTGCCTTTAGTCGCTTGATTGCCTGCTATGCCGCCCACTAATGCGCCACCAACAGTCGCAATCAGACGGCTCTTCATGTCGTCGCGAGACCGAGAGCGCGAGTTAGACCGACGGCGTCGCGTTTCTCGTCGGCCTTGTCGCTCAGAGCGCGGCGGAGACCACGATGAGCCTCTACGTTGGGTACCTGGTCTACCGCCGGCGCCCCCGTATCCGCGTTGTTGACCGTAGTCAGGCTGACTTTGCTGTGGGTATGGCTGTCCTTAGTTAGCTTAAGTCTTGCATACTGGTCAGAGTAGAGCGCACTGCTACCTGCATGTCGCGGGTGTCACTCGGTCCGTCGCGACCGCGCGGGACTTTGAACCCTGGTCCCGGCGCCCTGTGGTCGTTCTGTTCCGTCTCGTAGTACCGATCATCTGGGCCATAACGGTCTTGCCTGTAGTCTGGCGCATACATCTCTGGGTCCGAGTTGTAGCCGTCTACACTCTTCGGTACAGAGCGAGACGAAGTGTACTCTTTGTCGGGATTTCGCGAAACGTTCTGAGCCGGGTAGGACGACTGCTGTGCGTTTTGAACAGGCGGGCCTTGTGCGTTTTGCTGGAATTGGTTTTGCTGCGCTTGTAGCTTGCGATTCTTCTTTCCTTTTTTGGGAAATGCCGGAAGACGATCGTAGGTTTTGTCAAAGTACTTGTCGGTGAACTTGTCAAGACCCTCGAATCCGAGCTCCTGTTTATCGAGAAAGCAAATCAGCAGGTCGCACGCTTGAGAGGACGTCTGCAGGGCCGCGCACCACCATCTCTTCTGCCATAGTGACTAGACCCTTGTGGTTGGTCTTTCCGGTAGATCCGTCTCGGTGTTACGTCCGCGAACCGCTTATTCGGATAGCAAAAGTACTGAATGTGTTGACTGACTGGCATGCCCAGTCTCTTAACGTTTAATCCCGCTTGGCGGGAACCCCATGATGCCTGTTTTCATGCGTTTTTGGAATGACGTAGGGTGGTGCTAGTTGGGAAGAAGCTAGAGGTTTGGCGTAGCGCCGTCGCTCATCAGGAACGGCTGTCGGCACGCCGGGGTCTGGATGCGATCATTGCGCAGGCAAAGGCGTTCTCACGGCGTTGGCCATGCCGGTCTGGACATCTTATCGAAAGCTGTATGGCTCATTCTCAAGCTGATGTTGATGACAACCTGCTATTTCTGTGCGCTACAACAGCAATCTCTCGCAGAGCCGGTAGCCCAAGAAACCCGGATACCTAAGCTGCACCATCACGCGAAGCGCACCACAGCTGTTGCAACCTCCATATCGGCCCATCTCGACTCATCAACATATCAATCTTTACATCATACAATGATTCACATCGAAACGAAAGCGCGCGAAGTTGGGGAATCAATCGGGTGTACCTTCTCTGACAGGCGCATTGCTGTCGAGGCTGTTCAAATGGCTGCTCCGCAGATTGCGCTGATCCACAACGGTGCCTTTCTTGGCCTAAACAATAACAAAAGGTTGTCTGTATTGGGCGATGCAGTGCTCGCCAAGGTGCTGTGCGGTGCCTGGTTTGATGCTCGCAATCCGAATGGTAAGAAACGCTTTCCTTCTGCACATGTGCTGCGGGGTACTAATGGTATCAGGCCAAGTGCTGTCTCAGGCGCAATGGACGCAAATGCGCAACGACGCGCTGAGCAACGATGCGCTGGCACGCCGGGCGTACCAGGTTGGCCTCGATGAATGCGTCATTACGGCTGACAGCAAGCCTGTCGTGTCTCCAAAAATGGCGGCCACGACCTTTGAAGCTGTTATTGGTGCGGTTTATCAGGATGGTGGAGATGCGGCCGTCCAGCGCGTCATGCAGTCTCTCGGTTTCTTCGACCATGAGCTCCTCACGGTAACGTCTCAAATCCTCCTCTTCCCGTTATGAATAGCGATGCTATATTGACTGATGTGCAAACTTTTAGATCCCGGCACAGCTACCTCTGGGATCTGCTAGACAAGGCAATCCCAAATTCTCTTAACGAATAGTCGGCGTCTCATTCTGCTTCTCACTGCGTTTGCGCCTCCGCGAGGAGACTGGAACGCAAGGAAAAGACGTTTCTGGGGCGCCTCTAAGTCGCTTCGATAATTCGGGGATGTCTCGACCATCAAATCTCAGCCACAGCTGCGCCGCACCCGCTTGGATCTACCAGCCTGCGCTCTCGGATTCCACTGCGCCATTATCAACGTGTCTTCTGCATATGGTTTCTAATGCATGCAGCAGAACGGCACCCGTCCTCCGGGCACGTAGGCAGTTGTCTGGAAGCCTTGCGAAAGCTCACCGGAAGTATGCAGCCTGGTACTTCGTAGAACACCCTTTGAGGTGCTGATCCCAACATCGCACCTTGAGCATCCTTTGGGTTATAGGTTTCAGGGCACTCAACTGTCGCAAGACCTGCCCTTAGTTACATCGCTCCTTGTTTTAATGACATCCTGCGCTTTCTTTATTGCAGGAAAATCAAGCTCACGTCGCTTCATTCGTCTTGTCCAGCATGTCTTATCTTACATGATGCAAATTTCAAACGCTTCTGGTAGCTGTTCACGGCCAATCGATCGATGCATATGCAGTTCATGGCACAGCTTCTTAGACCGAGGGGCTGTCAGCCTTGCTCCTTTGCCAGTGACACATCGACTACGGTCTGGTTACACTAAACAATTTAGTGTGGCGCAGTCACCGGTGAAGTCTGCAATGGATCGATCACTAGGCAGAGACATCCAAAAGATGAATAAAAGCCATGCATCTGTCGTTGACTATAGGAAATACCCACAAAGCTATACTCTCTATCACCAAAGCCTAGCTGAGCAACCGAAGAGATCTCGCAAATATGACCGACATGGACAGCCGCATCTTGCAAGTCCAGACCATGACTGGGAATTACTTCCAGAACAAGCTGCTATGTGCAGAAGCCTTGCAGATGAAGGAACCGAATTGTCCTCTTCGCATCGAAGGAACACTCCATCTCTTCCACAAGAACAGAGACCTCGAGTTGGTCGGAGACGCTGTCATCGATGCTGTGCTAGCTACTATGTGGTACGAAGCGCGCGATCACAAGGGTATCTACAGACTACAGCGCTCATCATAGCTCGATACTGATTATACCAGGTGAGCGTTACAGCCTCGCAGCTTGGACCCAGATGCGCAACGATCTCGTCAGCAATGAGAAGTTTGCTGAACGTGGGTTCAGCCTTGGACTGGACAAGCTCATCATCATGAACCGGGGCATGAGCAGCCCATCTAACGACATGGTGGCGAACACCTTCGAAGCCATTGTCGGAGCAATGCACGTAGACGCACGAGATGCATCTTTCGCCGCTGTTCGCAATGCTCTCGAGCACATGGGGTTCTTTGACCACCCTCTACTCTCTGGGTCGTCCACTGTCCAGCACATCACCACTGGACTTGCGGCCACCACTCTTGCTTAGGCCATCGCATTCCCGTGATAGGTTACAGAGAGAACACCAGAGTGGTCCGCAAGGAGGGACGCAGAGCGCTTGTGAGTGCTGTTGGAGATGGTTTGCCTTTCTTCGTTTGTTACCATCTGGAATCTACGCCCCTCCTTGCGGACCACTCCGGGGATCTCTTTGCCGCCTGTCCCTGGATTTCACACTTGCCTGGCAGTCACCAGGCCGATCGACCGCAAGACTTTCCAAGGTTGAGACCAAACCATGGACGACTCTAGTATCACCATGGTCCGATACGTATACGGGATGCTTGCGTCTGTTACATTCGTTTTCCTCTTATAACCCCACTTCTGCTTTGTTTCTATAACTACACGTTCACTATATACCAATATACCAATAAACAAACCCCCTCGATCCGTCATTTACCATCCGCGCCTTACCTTGTAATGAGACGGTATCAAATTGACGAGAGCGCCAGTTCCACCCATTCACCCAGCGAAGTGCCCAGTCGCAAGGAAGTTCACCTCGATGGTGCGCTTGTCAGGCAATAGTTTCACCACAATGTTCCACTACCCACGCATAGGTGCTTCACGATGTCATCTCACTTGTCAACACATGATCCTCTCCTTCCTGGCGTCTGAAGTAACGTCACTCAGTACAACTCCGTCCTAAGGCGTACGCAACCGAGTCTCAGGCTTTCATCAGAGCCAGCTCTTTCCGAACTACAGTAACACACTATCGTCACAACTACGATGAACCCGCAACCACAACCAGATATGTCTGAGGGAGATCAAGATCCGCGGTTCGTTACGGTGGCCAACGAACAAGCGAAAGACGCCGTTGGAGAAAACAATTGCCAGAACGCAGAGACCATTGATGATCTATTCAATAGAGTCATTGGCGCCATTCATCCCGAGGTTCTCGCCGCCATCAAGGCGGGAGGAGCCGATCTTGGTGAGTTCACCATGGACAATATGGACCTTGAGTCCTGGCAGATTGATATTCCCCTCTCCCCAGAGCAGAGCGACAGCCAGTACCATCAGCTGCCACAGTGGCACGAAGAACGAAATCCGTATAACGAGATACGCTATACACCAACAGAGCCGAACGATACGAGTCTAGACGGTGCTCGTGCGGCCGCCGTGGTTGCTTTTGCTAGAACTCGCCAGCATGCGCAAATATCTCGAGGTTTGCTCAGTGAGCCGCAGACATCACCGACAACACCACAGCATATTCATCCGCCATACACCCAAGCGAGAGTACCGTGGATGCAAGAACAGTTACAACTACAAAGTCAGCCCATGATTGATACATCGCAACAACAAGTAGCCGGACGTCAGTCTATGACATTGCGGCCAACAGTGCCGACCCCCGAGCCAATGCAAGATCAATCGTGGCGTCTAGATTTCACACGTCCAACAACGCCACAAGTAGCAATTCCTGCTTTCTCGAAGGCGCCCACTCAGATACCACGCGCAATTGCCGCCGCTCCCCCTCAAAGCATTCATTTCGCCAACTTCCATGAAGCACAACAAGCTGCGGCCACCCGCGTCATTCACCACAATTATCATCCCCTGGCAAACGACAGCAGCTTTTCCCAAGACGAAGCGGCCCGCAGATTCTACATTCGTCGGCTGTACGACGCCTTCACCGACATCACCCAATGTATCGACAGCGCCACAGTCGCCAATTTCGACCTTCGATGGGCTACCCTCTCGTCCAGTAACTCGCCATACACACCAGCCATGATCACCACCGTCTGTCATGCCCTGCTCTCCATGGCCATCAACCTGCACACCCATGGCCCCATCTCTCTCAATGTCTACGATCAAGGCAAGTTGGAGAACGTGTACAAGTACCGCGATCTCACATTCAGTGCACGCATCGACAAGGTGTGTGAGCTGATGCGCATCAGTAAGGCTAGGTGTGGAAATCTGCTCAAGTTTGAGGGACTGGAGATGGTGGTTGCTACCGCGCCGTTGCTCATTAGACAGACGAGGAGTAACTATCACCACAACCGGAATAGACAGGATGATCTTGTTGCGGGTAAAGAGACGGAGGCTGGGGAAATGGGGCATGATGACGATGAGAATGAGGATTAGAATGGGAAGTAGTGACGACTTCCGTCCTTCCTCGCTAGATTGCGTCTTCTTCTGTTCCAAATTTAGCTGAGGCGGACCGTTGTACTAGTGCTTCTCTCAGAATGTTGGCATTTTCATGGATGCGTAGTAAATTACATGAACCTTTTATCGTCTCGCAGACTTGTTCGTCTTTTGCTTAGATCTGCTTTGCGCATTCTAACACGACCCTAGAGCACGCGTTCACTGACCACTGTGGCTATTTCGTGGATGACAATTTGCAATGAAACGGGTGCTTTTTCATTGAACGATGCGACTTTCGTGGGCTTTGATGTTTGTGGTTGTGATGGTGAGCAACGTCTCTGCCCTGGTGGCCGGATCATCGACGCGTGACGTCACTGTTTAGCCAGGACTGGTACGTGCTCCGAGCTGCACGCGTCTTCGGTACGTGGCTTCCCTCTGATCCACGTTACTTCAAACTGGCAAACTCTCGCAAAGCGATGATCATCTTCGCTCTCGCTGCTGTCTGGAGACTTCGGAGAAGAAACACCAAAAGTCGAACTGGAATTCTCAGCCTACTCTGGTTTCGCGCGCACTGCATCGCGTTGCGACGCGACGCACTACGTCTTACGATAACCAGTCTCATGGGCATCGATTCTGACCCGTACCGTCTTAACGTCTTGCGCGCCTGCTTCATTTGAGAAGAACAGATCAATGCGTTCCATTCACCGCTCGGGGGTGCTGGTGTTTCACGATGTTGCGCTGCTTGCCCCTGGCGTTCACGCGATCATTCTTTCGCCTGGCAAGGTGCACAGGTGCATTCACACCACCTGCCTCTTATGGTAAAATGCGCCTTCTATTTCAGGTTTAAACTATCAGCATACATCGCCGAGACACAACTCAACCCCAGTTTAGGACAGAATAACAGTCAAGCACACAGATCCGAAGATGGTACCTCCGAATTCACAACAAGAGCAGGAGCAGCACGCATGGGATGCTCCGAGTGTTCCGTGGCTTCTCCCTGACGCAAGACTGTATTCGTCTCCCATTATGTCAAGAACCTACGGCAATAACGACGTCAACTATGGCAACATGGGTCAACAGATTGGCTACGGTCAGGATACACCAGCTGTTAACCCAGTATTCGCACCCCAGTACTCTGCTCAACATTTTGACCAACCTAGTGTTATTGCATCACCTACTACTCACCAAGGCCCACAAAGCTACGCACACCCCGCTCACCCGTCCGATATGTATGCTTCTCTTGATGAGGCTATGGCTGCCATGCCGTCACCTGATTGGAGCCCACCCATCAACGACGACACTCTTCCAACGTCAGATGCGCACCGCCAGCAGTGGGTCCAAAAGCTCCTCGATGCCGTCAACAACGTCAAGAATACCCAAGGCA